TCGTAAATTAATTTTTTATTTATATTCATATTGTCACGTAGATTATTGTAAAATTATATTTTGTTTAAAATGCAACGAAAAGAAATTTTTTACTATTTTCCTTCTCTTTTTCACAGATATCTTTTCAAATTCAGCATATTAGATTCGACTAATTTTCACGTGAACTTTTACTTTGGAGTTTCGTCCTACCCATTTAAATGTTCAATCTCGTACACTATGTAACAGAAGAGAACACGGAAGAGAGAAAATGCGAAACTCGCACTGTCGGTTTGTTATCGTCGCGACGTGAAGTACACTTCTATCTCTCTAGGAATAAAGATAAAAGCGAGACACGAACGAACGATATCCGTGATCGAAGCTTTCAACTGAAACGAAGTGCAAGACAGGTTTGCGCTTTCGTCCCTCAAACCCCCTCGCAAGGACCTGTACAATGCATGAGACTTTGGAGAGGACCGTTGAAGTTCCGTCTTTCCACGCGCTTCACGTAGTTTGCCTTCCTGGATGGTTATTTTTACATTCCTTCTCTTTTTCGCTTTCTACTATCAGCATATGTGTTCAGAAAAATCGAAATTACATAATTATAAAAAAATTTTTTAATATTGTTAACTACATTAATATATATCTTAAAATATCAGTAGTTTGAAATTAGTTTCTTGCTTATAATTATTTTAGTAATAAAATTATATAAATCCACATATCATTATAAAGGATCTAATTTCCTGTCATTATACTGTGTGAAATTATCGTTAAACCATGCTAGATCACCTTTATCAATTACGGCACTTTTGTAAAACAACGCTTAACTATCTTTTCTCTCGCACTTTTTCGCATTAAGTGCGTAATACCGGTTATTTTCTCTACTGGACTTTAATTGTCATCCTCCGTGCTCCTTCGGTGGATAATTCATAACTGGCACGAACAGTAATTTATTGCCGGAAACTCGTTAAGATCGCTACTTCAGAACCAGTTCTTCAAAGCGGTTCGATAATGCATCTTACACACCCGCTCCAACTGATCGATATCAACTTCCTTGTAAAAATTTCGCGGATACTTCGTTATTGTAACAATTATAAGAATGTACAAAAAATCACATCATACAGTTATCACAAGAGAGATTAAAACTACTATGATAAATCTCCGAAATTGTGGATACAAGAAAAATGTAAAGTCATAGATGCTATAAAAAAAATCTCGTGCATTATTCAAAAACGTAAAAAATTCAAGTAATAATATAAAATATTTCAGTTTATTTGTGTGTGAGATAAAACGTCACGGCAGCACATTAAATGAAGAATTTTATCTTTAAAATTAAATTTTATTTCGAAAAGTTCACACATTGCTCTGACCTTAACATTAAATTCTTTTTCTATATATTTTAATTTAACCGAGTATATTTTAATTAATGATAAAATTTATCATTTTTCTTACTAACACAGTTTCGAAACATGCAATGATGCAATTTTCGTGGTTCACTGATAAGGCGATTTAACAACTTGTAAAGTACTTTCTTCCTCACGTAATGGCGATCGCAATAAGAACAAGAATTACACCTTTATCTTTCTAACGATGGAAGAAGAAATAAGTCAGTCGAGACGAAAAGGTGGACGGGAGTAGATTGGTACGTGTCTAGCTTTGAGAGTACACACTAACGACGAGGGGTTGTCGTCCCTTTAACTGGTTGGCTGGCACGGAAACGACCTTGGAATCAGCTGTGCGATACGAGGATGAAATTTCCTACCGAGACGCGTCGACGTCTTAGCGCGTAGGAGGACTCGAAGAATAACGTGATAGAAGTGAGAAAGAGAGCGGGGGGGGGAAGGGGAAGAGAAAGAGAGCTTATATCTCGACGAGGTCGGGGATGGCACGACAATGAGGTCACTAAGATCCGATGGGGATGGATTCCTCTTGGCATTCCTTGCGTAAGTTACGATGGCACTTCTCCGAGAAAATTTGCTTTCGAATCGTAAAAACGGTAATGCGAGTGTCGTTCTTTTTAACACCTTCTCTTCTTCTTTTAATTTCACTTACACATTCAAGAATATATGATGAATCTTCCGCGAGGTTTTTATTTCAACTTTATTTGTCACTTCAGTCCGAATGTAACATAAATAGCAAATACTCAATAATATCGCATGAGCGCGCTATTAAGTTATTAATTTCATTAAACGAGATCCATGAAAATTATTAATAAAGAGAATCCTAAAGAACCGTTAAAGTTCCCCTTTTAAATTTTAATGTAATCGATTCTCTTACACATTTATCTCATCATTGTTACGCTTTATTGGTATATTGGTAATATTTTTAACAGATACGTAAAGCACAGTCGATACATTATTTATTCGCTTAAATTCAATTATGGAGGTGTCTAAAAAAGTGCATATAATAAATATAAATATATTTTAAAATTCTTTATCAAAAACAATCCCTTTTCACAGCAGCTAAATGAATAACACACTCGTTTATTAATTCTATTAATTAAGCAGAATTGTTTTTTGTTTTTGACATTTCCATTCAGATTATTTCTCACATATAAATTGCAAAAATGTAAATCTAATTGCCATAACAACTAACGAATCAAACAAAATAATTGATTAATCAAACTGTCCAAATATCTTTCTCGGGAAAATTAATTTTATCACCGATGGCTTTTGTTTTGTCTTCAGCCAACCGATTGCGAGCAATCGCAACGAATTGCGTCCGAAAAACGAGCTGATTGTGGATTGGTGAATTTATTATCGTAGTGTTGCACTGGCCACGATAAAATCCACGATATACGATACTACCTAGTCGCAGTGTAATTCGTTGCCGTAGCTTAACCATTGAATAAACAGGGCGTATTGCATGCATCGAGAGAAGGAGGAGAGAGAGAGAGAAAGGGAAAAACCAGTCGAAAGAGAACTATTGCACCTGTGCACTCGAAGTAACGAATGCACAACCATATAACGAATAGATCTCGACTGGGCGCTACTCCAGTGATTTTCGCATATTTCGCACGGAATTTTGCATTAAAGATCAATGGTTAACGAGCTATTTGCTATAATTATTCAGCCACTAACTATATCGGCATCCAGTGTGCCGCATCGTTACACTGGCCGATACATGTTCTCATATTTCCGTTCATTCATTCATTTGCAATGAATTTCCTTATATTACAGTGTATCAATTAGAGAGAGAGCTGATAAACACTCGCAACCAGCGGAGAACAATAATATAGTTTTCTCGACGGGAACGTTATTTACCACAATATGCGTAGAAATTAATAAACGAATTTCTTCATTTCAACTGCAAACAGCATAATAATTTCAATGAACAAATCACAAAGCACAACAGGTATTATGTGGTACATTTTGCGTAACGACTTTAGGCAGATAATGTACCACGATAGAGTGGTACACCCGTGCATTAAAAAATATTAAATTTTAATAAATACTTGCTCGAATAATACTAACTAATTAAATATTTAATTTACTTAGTCAATATATATTTATTTCATTAAAAAAAATAATATTTAAATTAATAATTCTTATACCAAATAAATATATGTTATAAATATTTAGTTAATATTATTCAAACAAATATTTATTGAAATTTAGTAAATTTTTCTTCAATGTATATACGTCAAAAATATTAATTGAATAACAAAGAAACAAAGGGATGAAGATGGTAATCGAAGAAAAGCGTTGAAAAGTGCGAGATTACGCGAGCTAATCGAGATCCTGTAGACGCTATGAAAGTTCGACGAGAGACGGCGGCTCGTGCAGGAAAAGGGATAACTGAAGGCAATGATCGAACGTGGCGTGACCCGGCAAATTACTGTCACTCGAGGTAATTTCAGCGTAATCGCCTCTTCCATTCCATTTACCGCGTCTAAAGCGAAATTTACCTTTCGAGCGTATCCGAGGCGAGAGAGCGGCCGTCGAAAATACATCGCGCGCGCGCGCGCGCGCAATGACGAAATAATTTGCCAGGAGACACCTCATGATTCTATCCATCTACCTACACATGTAGCAATAATCTGTATGTTGACTTTTCCTATGTATCTTTTCTTTCTCTTTAGAGATTTAGTCCGTGATTACTGTGGCGCGATTATTTTACGAGATAAAAGAGTGAATAACTAATTTACAGCTTTCTCTTCATATGGAAATATATAATAAAATGGTACAATTAAAATGTAAACTAAATTCGTTAATAATTCATAGCACATTTCATAACGAAATAATGTTGATTCCATTAGCTGTATTGGTAAAATTAATAGTAACCGTCAATGATTCAGGCAAAAATTCTTGTTACATCAAATATTTACGCAAGTGATAGAAAAACCTAAGCACCTTATACAATCAACAAAATAAAAATAAATAGAACAATAAATAACTCGCAAAGATGAATTAGTTATTACAAATTATTTATCATTATGCTCAATTTTCTTTTCATCATTCTTCAAAACTTGTTCTTATGTACTTGTTCTTAGGTACGTCTGTACGTTCACTCGAAAATATGTACATAGCACTTACGTTGGATACATTGTAACTGCTGTATTGCTCTTTGGGGCTGCCTCCGCCGTTCTGCTCGCACTGCTTGTTCTTGAAGGCTCGGTAATTCTCTCGTAGCTGTTTGCCGTACTGGAACACAAAGCGGAGCGGACATCGTTAACGCGCGAGCGTTGCAGTTTGCAAGATGCGCGCGACGAGTAAACACGCCGTGCGCCTAACCGATTCTACGCTCCGGGCACATCGTAACATCTGAGGCTGATAAAGCCGACGGGTGTAAAAAAAAACTGCACCTGCGATTTGCATAATTTTACACGCGTCACTTTGTCGCATAGCGCCGGTCGACTAGCGCGTGTTGCCCAGCTGTGCGAGGCGAACCGTCGATCGATATACCTCGCCCGTTGAGATATCGCGCTCGCCTAGATAAATTCAACGTTGCTACGCGGACAGAATACGAAAGTACTATCTGATACTTTTCTCGATTTCTCCGACAATTAAATTCCTTTTCCGTCTTTTCTCGTCTTTTTGGGATGCGCGAAGTTGTATAAATGTAATTACCATATTTTAAGAAGAATTTGGGAAGAAAAAAGAAAAAAATAACAAACCGACGTAAAAAAAAATTTATTTTGATAATTAATAAAAATCAATCTTACACTTTACGTC